TGCAATGATATGTTTTTAGCATCCACTCAGGAGTACATAGAAGTTACTGCATACAAAATGTTCAGAAGGGCAGAGCTGAGATGCATGATTTTGAGTTTAAAGTCTTTTTTCTGACACTTTAATATCTGAGTTTATAAAGCTCTGTTAATGTCAGTTTTTGAAGGACTATTTGAGTCCATTATTCCATTGAGCATTTTTTCCACATACGCTTTCCAGACAAATCAGCACAGTAACTTAATTTAATTAAATCTAACAAAAATATTCTACTAGATTTTTGTTTTTCTGATCACGTATTGTAGAACAAAATATCCAGCTGTATGTTTTTCAAACTCTTCAGAAATGTGCTCAGTGACAGATGATAATTTTACAGTTGCAGAAGGTACAGATAGATATTATCCTGAAAAGGACATTAGCCTGATGAAAGATCTAAATGTCTTCCTAATCCTGATATTGACCTTTCTTACGGCTTTTAAGAAATCATTTATCTTTCCTCCAGGGAGTCTCTTCTCCTTCATAGTATCTTTTCAGGGACAGAGAAAGAAGATCTAAGCATAACAGCGCTGGAATCTTCTTGTGCTGGAATCTGTATTGTAGACATTTGATATCAGTTGTGGGTTTTTTGTTGGTGGTGGTGTTTTTTTTTATGGATTCTTTCTCTTGGACACTTGACGCTATTATTCCCTACTTATTTTGCTCTCTTTCTGCTGTTCCACCTGGGAACTCTTTTCCTTAGAATACTCAGTACATACAAGAAAAGTAATTGCAAAAAAAAGTTCAGAAATCAATATCATCCTTTTTTTTTTTTTTAAAGTCAAAAGACAAATTTAGGAGTGAGAATAAACCAATGCCTAGATAAATGAATGGCTGCTGTAAGGTACCCATGCAAATAGCTAGATATTACCATAAATAAAATTTATAGTCATCACAGTAACTTCTCTTAAGAAAATATTCCCAGCTTGCTTTGCCATGCTGAGATTCTCACCACACTTTTCTGGGAGTGCAAAAGTTTTGTTGTGTTTGAACCTTCTCCTTGAAAGGCAAAGGTATGCTTAAAGCACTACTCTAGCTGTATAACAACTGCAAACTTTATAACCAACTGCACATGACAGAGCATGCTGAGATACACATCTTGGGTCTGTTCTAGGCATCAGTCCAAAATTCTATACTGTAACTGCAAGAGAAATATAGATATTTTGAGCATATGTAACCTACAGTCTTTAGAAAACCTTTAGAAATCTTATCTATAGCCTATGTTAGCTAGGAGTTGGTTAATCTTGATTGGGATAGAGAGAGTGAAAATTCCAATCCACTTGTGCAATAACCATTTAACGTCCTGTTGCAATAGTGGCAGTGCAGTTGTGTTAAAAGAAGTCTGAGAAAGTAGCTTTTGAAACATCAGATACAATTATGACAAAAAAGATGTTTTGCTGGAGGAAAAAAAATGGTTCCATTCATGTGTCATGTTTTCTTCTCCTTTCATTCAGATTGACTAAATGTATATATGTGTATATGTATACATATATAAACATATATATAAACATATATATATTTGTGAAAACTAAGACCTGATCTAACTTCCAATGACTTTAATGGAAAGCTTGAGCTGATTTTGATTTCTATCCATGAAGAGTCTGCAGTGGGAATTTTTTGTAATGTATTTGTTAGAAACAAGATTGAATTTACATTTGACTGCACTCTGAGGAATTCCACAATAGTATGTTGAAAAGGAAGAAAATTGTGAATATAGAAGGATTTTTAAAAGTAGTGATGATTATGACATTTATTTATTTTCATTGTTGGAACTGTTAGAAGTGAGGTATTTTGTGAGAATTTAGTAATGTAATGCAGTTTCTGTTGATAAGATGTTCAGAAAGGAAAAAAAATGGGGGAGGCAAGAACAATTTCAGTGTATGTTTAGGCAACACATGCTGCTTAGGGCGTGCATATAGTTAATGTTCTAACCTGACTGGTGCAAAGTAAGAACTTGATTCTTTTCTTGCAAATACTTCTAACTGGCTTGCATCTACTCTTCATTTGCTTTAAAGCACAATTGCTTCTCTTTTCTCTTTTCTTTCTCTTTCTGGTCTCAGATTTGCCCTGGTTGGATCAGAGATTTTTGCAGGGAAAAGCAAGCATCTTCAGACACTGAAGGAACAAATTGAAATTTGGACAGAAATGCCAAATGTGTGTTAGCATTTGAATTAGTTTCTTGCCATATCTGGTATGATTCATTAAAATTTGGACCCAATATAAGCCCTGGAAGAAAAACCCCTTGCATAAGCCCAGTGGAGAACTTGTTAGAGTTTGGCTGTTCAATTTTCTGACGATTCAGACTCCTTTGAGAATCTTTCAGTCCTTCGCAGCTTCTTTGAATTACCTGTACTGGGCTGTTCCTGCAGAGACTGAACAGGCCCCATTCTGAAGTTCAGAGGCCAAGGAAAACATTCCCTTCCATTTTCGTACTGCTGCCAAAGGTTGTTTAAAAAAAAACAACAGGCACTAAGATCAGGGATTCAGGCCAGAAGCAGAGTATAAAAATAATTTATAATCAGTAGAGCACACTCTACTGCAGAACTTGGAACCTGACATAAAGTTCCTTAGTCTTTGGCAAGAAAACAAATAACTGGAACCAGTGACAAGCTGTAGTAATAGTCCACATAAAGGGTAACAGTTTTCTGTTGCTACAGGTTTTTGCCTTGGCTTAGACAAAGAGAGGAAAATGACGTGGGTATCAGCAACACAAGTGGCTGTATTTTAAATACAGTTAATAAAGTGCTCTATGCATTCTTCTAACAGAATGGTAATTTGCAACATCTGCTTTTCAAAGGCTAGAAAATAGTAGATTGCCTTTCCCCCCTCCCAGTCTGTATCAATCTGATCACGACATAGTCCTTTAATTACACAAACACCCACTACTTTTCCACAGGCCTTCATGGGAATGTAAAGAGCCAGACTGTAAAGAGCTTGGTATGTGCATTCAGCCAGCCTTCCCATCTGCGCATCGTTACTTATTGCCTCCTACTGGAAACTGATCACTTCACAGCCAAAAGCTTTAAAACAGCAACCATTACTAGAGCTGTTCACCAGTTTTATTTGAAGAAGGTAATTAAGAGGTACTGAGGAGGTGGATAGAAAAACAGGCTTGCTTACTCATAAACTCCATTTTTTTTTTCTTGTGTGGTGTTTATAAAATTAGTTTGTATTTAATCAGAAGAGGAAAAATGTACATGATTCTGTCTATGCTGTGTGAATGTTTAGCTTTCTCTGAGCAAAACTAAAATATGGGGAAAGATTAAAGAAAAATTGAATGAGATACTGTATTCATCTGTCTGACTCTTGTGCTAAGTAGACAACCTCTGTGATGATAAAAAAGGTCATTGCTGCACCATTAAACCTGTCACATCCTTTAATCTTTTTGTTTGTTTGTTTGTTATTATTATTTGTATGTTTAAATCAAACAGAAGGTATCTATGTTAAACAGTTATACTGAATTTTGATTTTCTTTTGATTCTGTTAGTTTAGATTCAGGGTAAGGTACATGTTTTGTGATACTTCCAGAATAACATCATCTTCAGACATCACTGCACATCTGTAACACTGTTTGGAAGACCAAAAAATATGTGTGAAGCATAAGTTGTTTGAAAAATAACCTGTATTTACTGAAGTCCAAACAGGTACTTGGATTACTTTGTCAAATTAAAGTACTGCTCTGCTACTTATCTCATTTTCCAGGTGCAAGCAGTAGTATTCACTAATATTTTTCAGGATAAAAATGAAGAGGACAATGGATGGTATATCTTGCAAAAGGAAAAAATATTTACAGCATAATGGCATAGCACAAATCTTTTGAAAAGTAATATCAGCTACTGTCTCTCATACTGTGCTGCTGCTTAATAGTAGATAGTTCCATATTGCTGATATAGAGAAGTGGATTTTATGTAAATGCACTAGTATAATGGGATTTCTTAATCCTGACTGGTGGAAGAAGCTTTTCAAGCATATTTGCTAAAGTCATAGTCAATGTCATTAGTCATAGTCAGTGACATTAGAAACAGCATTCCTATAAGAAAAGAAAATGAAAGATACAGTTTCAGTGCCATAAAACCTAGTCTCGCTATTTCTGGCTAATTCTGAAAACAAAATGTGGGACTTTACAGGACTTTATATACATCATAAATGATGAAATGACTGGGTTTACTCAGTATATCCCCAGTACAAAATCAATCTGAACAGAATCCTTTCTACCTTATTCTAGGCATGTGTTGAAGTAAATAAATACATAAATATCTAAAAGGTTAAAAAAAATACAAAATAGTATTTTTTCTGGGTTACTAATGTTTCAGCAAAACAATCTTCTAAGAACTTAAAAAAAAAAGTGAAGTGACATTCAAATTTTTAAAACCAAGTGTATATGAGAATTTTGATTTTTGCTTTTTTGTGTAGTTTCATACATCTTGCTTGAAGCATTTGCAAGTATTAGCACTCACAATATGTCTCCTATGAGTGTATTCTCTGATGTCTAATGTAATAGGACTTTTTTAATATATGTGTGTGTGTATATATATATATAATCCAATATAATTGGACTTACTTTTCAGGCTATCCATCAGTTGTAACACCACTATAAACCACTTATTTAGCTGTGTATTCTCAAAAAAGTTGTTTTTTTCCATCAAATTCAGTTGAATCTTGTAGGTGATTTCCATGGAGATCAGTTGCTAGGCTATTAAGGACAATGCTGCATCATTCATGTAGAACCTCAGATATCTCAGCTTTTTGACGCTGTGTGCTGTGGCTGGAGCTCACATCTCTCCCTCTCAGGGCACAGTTGCAGCAACATAGGGGAAGCATCAAAACAGCCAGGTTCTAAGCCAACATTTTCAAGAGAGTCACATTCAGCCTCCACATTTGCATTCCTATGGACACCTGGATAATGTTCCAAAGTCAGGCAAAGCTTGAATAAGATGCTGGGCTTTCAAAGTGTACATAGTGGGGAAAAAATGGCTCATACTGGTTTTGAAACAGAACAGAAGTTGGTGTGTGCAGTGAAGGTGGTATGTGCATGATTTTGCATATTCAGCTCTGTGAAGAATTAGCCAATGAATCTGTGAGTTGAACAGGAAATTGCACTGCTTTCACATGTATCTAAGACTTCTGGGCCTTCTGTTTTAAAAGTGTTAAAAGTTTAGTTAAAAATCATCCCAACATCATCCTAACCAATTGCAACCAATCTGATTAGCCATAGCAGGTATTTTCCCAGCAAAATCACATCAGGAAACTGCCAGTAGGCAGTTTCTACAAATGTCTTGAGACTGGACTTCTGGAAAACTTAAGACAGCTCTCCCTGGAGCAACAAAGAAGAGATGAAACAAAAAAGTTTCATTCTCAAGGGAGAATGAAACTTTCCTCATGTCCACATGTACATACTGTACTTTTTGTTGGTTTTATAAATGGAGGTCACTCCAAAAGTAATGCCTCCTATTTGTTTCCATGGAAAATACATCAGATGCGAAGAGCACGATAACAGTATCTGCTAGAATAAATTCTCAGCTATAAAACGCTAATTTTCAAAAGTCAAAACCATTAACAATGTATTTTTGCCAGTGAACAAGAACTTGCTTGCTGCAATACTGCAAATCTATGTGGCTATCCAGAATGACTCATCTTTCATGCTGCTGCTGCCGCCATTGCTGAAATGTATCACCCACTGCTTCACTTGTGCTCACTTCTGCTCTTTGGTCTCCATAAATGTTCATCAAGCATTAATGAATGTCAGTGGGTGCTATTTTTTCAGTGGCACATCTTTGCTTCATCCACGCTTCCATGTCAGATGCCGTTCTGAAACTGCCCCTCTGCTGCCATCTGTCACAAAGAAACAAAATGTAATAGAATATTGATGGAAAGGTTCAACCTCTACTGTCTTACCACCAACGTCTGCCCTCATCATTGTGAGTACACAAAATAGGAGGCATTATTTTTGGAACAGCCCTCATGTAAATCCTTCTCCTTTTTAAAGACCTACATTTTTACATGATGGCTCATTGGTTTTCAGCCTATTTCCTAGGCAGGTACATAATCCAGGGATGTGGAATGGCAGGACATGCAGAGATACAGGTAGAATAGAGCATGGTTTTATATGAGAAGACTTCTGCCAATTTTTCTACCGAAGCGTGCAAATTTAAAGCTATGGATCAACGCCTTGCTCCTTGCACAGGTAGTGCTGGGTTGTAATGTTGTGACAGTGACAAACTCCTGAGTGGCCCAGCCCACTTAAAAATTCTGTATGGAGGCACTCAGCAATAAAGAACGAATCTGTCATCAGCCAAGAACTACCAAGGACTTTTGATGACTGATGGCCAATATGGAATATCACTTCACATACATACTCTACATCCTAATGCTGTGCCATGCTGAATTGCCGAAACTCTCTGATACAGGCAGTGATATAACATTAACTTGGCACTCCACTGTAACTTGCATACTGTGATTCTCAGCAAGAATAATTTCTGGGAGCTCTTCAAGTGGAATTAACTTGCTCACTACTAGCTTTAGCTCTCCAACATATTGTGCACATATATTGCACAGTATTGGAAAGTTCATATCAGATAGAATTGCACTGGAAGTTTCCTAAGCAATATATAAAAAAATAATAATAATAAAAAAACAAACCACATGATAAAATTACCAGAAGCAGTGGGATAATATTTTGTTTCTTCAGTCTCATGCTTTTACTATTTTTTAGCCAGCGGTTTGCAGTTATGTCATTCACTCCATGAAGGACAATGCTCTGTGAAGTGGATGGCTTACTTCTTTTTCTTCATGGAAAAAAAAAATCTGTAGTTGCAAAGTCTCTGAATATCTGACTGATAGTTTGTTTTGTCAGTGCTCAGATTCAGTGCAGAGGGGAGCTAATGGTAGAAGTGTTTACACTGAAGAGCTACTTAAAGTTTAGTCATCGCTGCTCAGTCCTTATCAGTTCTGCCCAAATGTCAGGTGTATACCTGTAATTGTCTGCTGATCTTTTTTACCCAAATATTACTCTTCTGTTTTCTAAACTGAATCTCATTACAACATTCTGCCTGTGTTTCTAATCTTGCCATGACCCCTTGTATTATTTCTCCATTTTCGGCAGTATGCTCAGCTCCTCCTAGTTTAATAGATCTGCAGATTTCATTAATGTACCATTTACTCCCTCTTCTAACTCATTATTGAAGCTATTAAATGAGATCAGAAGTAATACTAATCTCTGTGTACTGCACTAAATGCCTCCCTTCAAAGTTATTGTTTATCATTACCCTTCATTGTTTGTCATCACCCTTCATTTCAGTCACCATGAGAGTTCATTTCCAATTTGATTTAAGCTTGAGAACAGTATTTTGACACATTGCAGACAGGAGAAGAAATCCTAATCAACAGTCCAGTAGAGGGTTTTAATTAAGGCTCAATTTAGATTATCAAAGTTGGAAGTCCTCTGCTGCAGCAACAGTGCAAGGTGGAAAGAATCCCTGTAATGTAATTGAGAACAGCCAAGCTTGTTGCTAAAATGTCCTGAAGAAAACTGTGTACTGCTACTATTCAGACACATGACAGTATAACTTGTGCTGCCCGTTCATTAGTTTTGTATTACTATTTAAAAAATTGACTTTGTCTGGTAGACTTCAAAGTGTTTTAGTTAATGTTTTTCCTCAATAGCTGGTCCATTATGCTGCCAGGGAAGGAAGCTAAATCTATGAGTAGCAGTTTCAAAGACAACTTGCAAAATACGTGAACTTCTATCTTCAACTGTTTTGGAGAAGTGCACTTCCAAAGTAACTATATTCTTCTTCTGTTTCTGCACAGTGTACTGTTTTAGGAGAAAGACTTTAATTTTCACCACCTTTTCAAAGATTAATTTCTAAATTACACGGTAAATATTATTAAACATATTTATAATACGTAGATAGGAAACAGAGATTCAGTCAGGAAGAACCCATCTTGACAATATAGTCTGATAATAATCAATCCCATGTGTTCTAAGAGGCCAGAACCAAAACCTGTTCACCTTTCACCTTGATACAACGCCTAGCATTTTGTAAAGATGGGCTGCCAACTCTTGGCATCAGACCCAATTACTCTTGATTTTTATTGACTTGCCAAAACTGTCTTTATCCAAGTGTTTTCAATGTCCAAGAACTACTCAGTTTTTCCTTGGAATACCTTAATTGAGCTTTTTAAATTACATATAGTCTCTGTCAGAGCAAATGTTTAAAAAACCAGCCAGCCAAAACACTACACTAAACTAACTCTTGTATTGAAAAAAATGATGTCTAGGTATTACTGGCTTCTCTTAATGTTTTGTGTTTGTAGGTGTTAGAAAAAAACAATGGAGCAGTGAATCACTGAATTTTAGGGTGAAGTGAGACTGTTTACTCTATGTGGGGAAAATTGCCAGAGAAATAAGGTTTCGTGAGGAGCCAGGCATGCATCCTAAGGGCCATGACATGAAGTGGATCTAATGGAGATATAACTGCAAGTCCCACATCTGCAACCGGAAATGGGTTCACAAATCCAGAAATACAACCCAAAATGAGGTCACAAATATAGGAATTGGGTTGCCAGAAAAGATGGAGATTAGCTGCTATAAACTCAGCTTCTCTGAATTTTGAAGCTCTGCATCTGTCAGTATCTGCCTACTTATCTGACATAGTCTGCTATCTCATTACTCTGAACCTACCTTAACCTCTGACGCAAATTTTGTTCACTCTTCCCCAGACCAGACTGCTTATGGAATATCTTTCACCCACTCAGTCTCTCCTAAAACCCATCTATGCCTATGTTGATTCCTGCCTGGGAATCATCAGTGACACTTTTTAGCCTTGTTTTTATGGTTAAACATTTTTATAAAACTTTTTATTGGGTTTTTATTGCTACAATCTCCTGCCTGCCCCCTCCCCCATGTTACTGAGCTCCGTATTTGTTATATCTTTCGTGAAATTGAATTGCATGATTTTCTGGGAAAATAATTAATGTCACTTAGGTTTTAAAAAGTACCTACCAATAACATTAGTGATGCAAAAAACATGTATAATTACTCTGGTTCATTAATACCTATTAATCATGGTTTAAGATGTCCCCAGTGTGTTTTACTGTTAGCTGTCCAATAGCTTGCATGTGAAAGCCTGAGGAGGCTGATTCCAACAGAGAACATTAACCCATTAATTGCATTGGTTTTCAGTTATCTCTATGAAATGTGTAAGGGGCATGTCTGCCTACCATATACGTCATTGTGTGTTTTGTGAACAAGTTGGTATGCTGTGCCTCATTTCCCTCCTTGTTCCTTTGTATTCATAATGCTTTTACCTCTCCTTTGAAAGACACTTGAGGAAACACATGCCTGCTGTGAAAGTCTGATTCATTTTGCACTGCATCTGCGCTGTCTGGTTCTAACATGCACTTTGGATTTAAATCAGCTTCTCTGTATCTCTGCAAAGGCTTTCATTTTGCTAATGAGTTGACTTTTAAGTTGTGAATATTTCTCGGAAGGGTGTGCGTTATCATCTGACGGTCCAATTAGTGCAAATATTGACCTTGGTAAAAGCAGTGTGGCTTTAATAACATAATAAATGGGAAGAAAACTTCTCTAACTCAAAATAATAATAATGAAGATAAATAATAATAAAAAAATTACAGTAGTGCCATCTAGTGCGCCAGGTGTTGCAGTTTGCTGGAAAGGGGCAGTCAACTCCTTTCAGTCCATCCCACTTGTTACTGCTTAGCCAGCTCTCCTGTGGCTACTTCCTGCTCAGCCTGTGACAGGGCAGCAGGTACAGCGCTGACAGGAGGCAGAGGAGAGGACCCAGGGGCTGCCCTGCAGATGTTTGTCCTGGCACACATGCCATAAAGTTGTCGCTGCTTCTCTATGAAAAAAATGAGTATCCATGAGACTTCAAGGAAAGAGAAAGATAGCTCTTCTGCCTGTACTCCCACATAAACCTTTCTCTTCTACTCAGTGATTTCCATTGCTAAACACTTGGTGGCTAAAACAGCCTTTCTTATCCATTGCAGCATGGATAGACCAATTTTTTTGGTGTGGACAGAGAAAAAAGATATACATTTGATGTGAGAAGGGCAGAGAAGCTGCTGCTTTTTGAAGCTAGGAAGGGATGGAAATGAGCCTTTGCCTGTTTTCTGAAGGATATACATTGTGTTAAGGGTCCACAAACCCCTCTGGCAGTGGGGGAAAAGAGGGAGGAGAAGAGGCACCTGCTCTGTATGTTAGTGAAGCCCTTTCACTGTGACCACTGTAGGCTTTTCCACTGCAGCCTTCTTCACTTCCACTGTTAGTGACTGAACTTCTCTGCTCTAATCCTGAGATATGCAAAGTGCATATCTTGCCCTTCAGCCTGTGAAGCTGCACAGGGTTTATTTTTGTCTTCAGTATAGAATCTGCTTGTAACAAGTGCAAGAGTGATCGAGCCAGAAACTGTTGTCTGCAAATGAGGCCCGCATCTCCATAGCATCACATAATGCTGTGTATTCGCCTCTCCTCTGCAGCTGCTGCTGGAGGATATTGCTTTTCCAGCTGGATTTGCTTGGGATGCAGCTACAGCAGCATTTCAAATTGAAGGTGTCAATTTTTAAATGCCAAATAGTTAGGGAAGGAGAGATCTCTCCTTCATTGCATAGATGCTATATCTAATGCAAATACATGTAGCACTTCCATTTAAACGCTTCTGGCCCGAGCAGTAAGAAGAGGGTAAAAGATTTTACAAATCTCAGAACTGTATGGTTAGGAATTGGAAATGGGGAGGAGCTTCCACTATCTACTGAGAGTGAAGGGAAAAAAAGAAAAGGGAAGAAAAAAAAAAAAAAGAGGAAAAAAAAAGAAATAAGTAATATTCCCATTAGCTTTTCTTTCCTTTTCTAGAATTAATTTAGGAAGGTTACTATTGGCTATTCCAAAACAGGGCATGAGAACTACCTAGTAGATGTCAGTACTCATGGGGGTCCTCAGTGAGGAGTCTTCAAGGAATGTGAAAAACAGAGAGCTGGGAGGTTAACAGCAGGACTTACTGAGACTCCTGACACGTGTCATGTTCCAAACTGAATGGTGGCACCGATAAAGCAGTTTGCCCAGCATGGTAAAAATCTATGTGGCAGAGTAGGGAATGCAAACCCACAAGGTACAGGGACACTGACAGCTCTAAGCCCCCAACCATTCCCTCTTCATAAATGTGTGTTTAGAGACCACTAAAACACATATAGATCTGATTTTCTCACATTATACCCTGCAGCATACTGGCACTGTGCTCCCATTGATTTCAGTGACTAAATGGGAGCTGTAGATCTAAAATTGTCTTTGAGGATGTAGCCTTTAGCTCTTGCTTATTGCTGAAAGTGAGAATACTTACTCAGGCCTGGAACCTTTTAACAACCTCTGCTCATTTCACCTAATGTCTTGAACAGCCTGCTCTTCCCTGGGAATCAATATTCTGGGCCAGGTCCTAACTCGAGTCCAGCAACGCGCACAGCTTTGCTAACTAATTCTTAAAATGTGAATTGTGTGCGCATACGGAAGGACATTATAATTTCCTGCCTTTTGAGTGGCTGGAAGTGCAACTATAATGTTCTCTTAATGTATTTTTAATGAGCTTTCCTAAGGCTTCTGAGTGGGAGAGATGTTAAAAAAAAAAATCTATAATGTGGTCTAGACACTACTCAAATGACCCCTTTCCCACTGAAGTAAGAAACTCAACAGGGAATTTCTCCTCCTGAAAGCTGTGGAAGCTGTGCAGCTTTTGACTTAAAGGCAGCATGATTGAAGCAATAGTTCTTGTAGAGTCCAAACTCGGTTGCTGCATGTATCACAAGATCCACAGTGGATGAGGCAAAGGCTGATAGGCTACTTTCTTTTCACTGTCAGCTATGTATTTATGCACAGCACAACCTTATTCACTCTGTATATTTCAAAGTGTTAAAAAATCATACCAATTGTACTCTGCATGCTCAAAGTGCAGATTTCAGAGGTTCATGACTCAGTCAAATCAAAATCAATTTGCAGCAGAACACTCAAAGGCACTTCTTCTTACTGAGGGCCATTTCTATGCTAAATTTCAACTCCCTGCTTTAGTTTTGGGTTTTTTTTTGTTGGTTTTTTTTTTTTTGTTGTTGTTGTTTCTTTTTTTTGTTTTTTTTTTTTTGAAGAGAGGGAAAAGTTTCAAAAAATTCTTGTAATGATAAAAGTGTTTTTCTTCACTTCTTTCTTATGCCAAATAGTTGAGCTACATTAATTCAAACAAAATTTTACCTTTTGGGCAGAGAAAAAGCCAAGAAAATTTCACACCAGAGGATGAAAACATAGTTAATTTAGAGGAAAAGCAAACTTGCAAAGTATATGAAAACTCAAATAATCTGATAAGTAATAGCCCTGTTTCACTAGCTCCACTTAAAAGGAAAATAATTTTCTCTTATTCCATTGTGATAATTGCAGAGAATGGGGAACATGCATCACATTTCATCATGGCCATCATCATATTCATCATTTATTGACATATTATACTGACACATAAGGATTTGGTAGCTAAGCCTCCCCTATGTATTTGAAATGTAAAATCAGTTTCCCCATCAGTGTTTTTCCTGGCCCGGAAGTTCACTAAAACTCAGGGTATGTCTACAGTAAGAGGTGCAGCACAGCGCTAAGGTTTCTGAGCAAGCTTAGAGGAGCAGGCTCAGTTCATTGAAGCTAGCTGAAGCAGAGCAGAGCTCTGTGCAGGCTAATTGTGTCTCAGCAGGGTATCTTAGTGTGTGTTGAGTTCTCTGTTGCCTGGGCTAGATTGCTTCCTGCACTTTATTTAGCTAGCTTGGGTACTCAGCACTGTACAGAGAGGCTCACTGAAAAAGTGGGTTGGTTTACATAGCCCCAGTCAGGGCTTTATAGCCACTAGTGACCACCAGAGAAGTACTGGCAGTCTGCTAGAAATCAAGTGCTTTCCCCCTCCCACCCATCTCCTTTGCTGGAGGAAGGCAGGCAAAAAAGCAATGGCACAGCATTTGCACTAGCTGCTTATTCTTAAATAAAAGTGTCTTAGGTGCCCAGTCTGGGAGCTTTTGGCTTCCCTTCACCCCACCGTGGTGAAAAGGAGCTATAGCTTATAGCACTGATGTGGAAGCTTGCTCTTAAGGGCTTCCAAGTTCTAAGTATCACAAAAGAACTACTATTAATTGTTATTACATGCACTCCTCTGAAATTTATTTTTGCAGGCATATTTAAAATCGAAAGCAGGACAGGAAAACTTACAGTATGGCATTTTTCTGAGGAGCGTGCACACTGAGCACAAGATCTATGATAAAGTCTGAGATAACGAGAAACTCAAGCTGCCTGGATCTAAAATTTGACCTACTTTGAAGGTTGTCCCACATAAGAGTTTAATTGACTGACCAACCAAATGTGGATGTATCAGTGTTCACGTGCTGCAATAAAATTCTGTAAAGAACATGAAATGTGACAATGATCTTTGAAAAGCTAGGTTACAGAAGGGATATTACAAATTTTAGTAATGCTTTAAATTAAGTGTCTTCAATATGCTTAACCTTGCATTAAACTTAGATTTAATAAGACAGATGTGTATTAAGTACTGAATATACTTAAGGGAGCAATCTTGCGTTGGCAGGGGATGGACTCAATGACCTCCTAATAGTTCTCCTCCATCTCTAATTTCTATGATACTAATTGATTATTAAAACACTTTTATTGAGGATTGATATGTAGCTATTATATAGTTATTAATCTTACAACCCAACTGATATTTAATTTATACGTGATTTTAACACACAATGTCATTTTAGTTTTTAGAGAGTAAAACTGTAACAGAGCATTTACTGGAGCTCTGAAAAATCTTGCTGGTGAATGTGCTTGGACATCATGGGGTCATTTGGATTTCATGATAAAATCACACTTTGCAGGAGTTTAAGTTTACAGAGCTCTCCACATTAAAAATGGAATGTTTACCTCTGCTACAGCATTGCTCTGGAAAGACAAAGAAACTCATCAGGAAGGAAGGTACATCTGTTTGGCTTCAATAGTATGTAATGTTAAGAATGTGTGATCTCAGACAACAGTGAGATTTTGAATATTTTAAAGATAATCTCACTGCCTCTGTTTTGGAATTGCAAAGAAATTTCTCCAGTCTATGAGAGTGAAGAAAATGGTGCGGGGATTTTGAACATTTAAAATTCATTTCTGTGAACATTTGGCTAGGCAAAAAGCAGAAGTTTTGCAGAGCTGTGTTATTAATTCAGCCTGTATATGCCTAGGGCCATAGCTCATAATGGCATTCCTTTCTTTTTAACAGACTGTCAGGATTTTCAAAGGACATCTAGAAAGCCATAAGTGCCTATTTGTTGGATGTATTTCTTGTACCCTAAAGGCTTTCTTTGATATGGACTGATCTTTTACATTTATGGATGGAAGCTGTGTTAGAAAATGCCCTTTGTGAAAACCTGTAATATCTCCAGAGTTGCAAACATCAGATTTTTGGCTAAGGAAATACGAAGTGTGTCAGAACTCCGAGTGCTTTTAGAAACAGGATTTTCAAATAATTAGCAGCTAGCAAAAATATGAATAAATGCAAAACCTAGTGCAAATATATACTAATGCTTGAAAGTTCCTAGCTACTTTAAATTATATGAGGAGGGGGAAGGGAATACCACTAGCTTTTCTCTTAGGATTCTGAGGTTCTTGTGCCTACTTTGTGATAAATATTTACATTCAACATATGCTTTCTCATGTCAAAAGTGTAACAACCAAGTTTTGTTTTTCAAACAGAAGGCTGGAATACAGATGGAAGGGGCCTTAATGTCTGGGGCACATTCACCCATCAGGGAGGAGATCGAGTTTTCAAGAACCAGACTGGTGATGTAGCTTGTGGCAGCTACACTCTGTGGGAGGAAGATTTGAAATGTATCAAACAGCTTGGATTGACTCATTATCGCTTTTCTCTTTCCTGGTCACGTCTGTTACCTGATGGGACGACAGGTTTCATCAACCAGAAAGGCAATTGTTTCTTAAAAATAGAAGGTTGCAGCTTTAATTCAAGGTTATTGCTGCAGTCTGGCATAATTAATCCAGTAAGCTATTCTGCAGTGTAGCTTTGAAATTGCAACTTTTTTCAGAGTAATTATGGGATGATTTTTTATAGGTTTGCAACAACTTACTAATTAATATTCTAGATCCCTTTGGATAGCACAATCTTTTGGGATAGGATTAATATTATGTTTCCTATGTATTTTTGCTTACATCAGTTTAATTGTTACTCTAAATCATTTTGCTACATCAGAATGTTTTTAGTTACAAGAATCCTAGCCATGAGGATATTTTTGGATGGCTTACAATGGAGAAGTCTCTTACTTGGCAAATAGATTTAGATAGGTTATCAGAATACTCTGATGTAATGAACTTCTTGTTGACAGTTTTATAATAAGAGGGACATAATTTTTCCAGATATTTTCTTTAGAACATTACAGGGGATTCTTTAGGCTCAGCTAATAGCTATGTCTATGACAAAACAAGCCAGCCCACACTCTGAAGAGAATTTTCACAATCTCAACAGATGATGCAGAAGTCTAAGCATAAAGTGATATAACATATAAACAAGCCAGCTGGGTTACTAGATGTCAGGTATAGAATCTGTTGCACATCTGATTTAATTTTAATTCCTTTGGCATAGACTGGGGAAAAGATGAAGATGACTTATTGGAAAAGAAAGGAAATGGTACTTTTCCCTGCAAAAAATAAGGAATGGAAAAAAGAAGAAATAAGGAGAATTATGAGTTATAAAAGCAACTGAAGCTGAACTAGGAAGGATGGGAAAAAGCAGTTGGCTGAAGTCTCCTTTATTCTGGGAGGATGATGTTCCAGGAAAAACAAAAGCAAAGTATGTTTGGATGAACCTTTGAATCTTAGCTCTGTCTCCTACTCTTCTGAATCTCAATTCTATCAAGAAAATATGTAGCTTTGCATTTCAGGGGCAATGTTTACCTTGATAATTCCTTTCTTTCATTGTTTTGAAGCTTGCAAAGATGGAAGGCTACAAAGGGAGAATTTTTTTTAGAAAATGTCAGTCAGGTTATCCTGATCTGCGCTAGGAAGTAGAAGCAATATTCTTCTGCAGATTTTGGTCATGGAGAGCTTGTCTATTCAAGAGGCAGCAGTCTGTCCTCTGCATCCTGCAGATTACATTTCTCACTAGAGAGTGAAGGAGCTTTTGTTTCAGGAATTCAAATGAGGGGGCTGGGGGATCTGCTGTAAACAGACCAACCAGCCATTTTCCCTGCAGAGCATGACTGCAAAAACTGTGCCAGCATCCCGTAGAGGCTTGAATGGAAGCCTTCCCTTTGCTACCAAAGTTTACAATATGTGGCCCACTTTTACTAGCACAGCTTGTACTTCCCTTGGAATGTTTTTTGTGGCACAACGAATTTAAATTTGGCTGAGTCCTTGTAGTTTCTTCCCTGTCCTGATATTCCTTCAGCTAGTGCTGCAGGCACTGTGCAACATCACTGAGCAACCCACTGAACAGGCTTTTGTTTCTCGGATGTCAGACTGGGAGAAAGCAAGTAGACACTTGGTAAGGGAAGCTAAAATTTTGACAAAACTCAGCTGTAATTTCAGAAAATGTTCACTTGATCTGTAGTATAAGCAGTTGCCTGATTAATATTATGAACTTTACATTTAGCGAAAGGGCACTGGAGAAACTCCAAGTAGGCTAGCTTTCATTAGGCAGGAGTTCACTTCTCTTGTGCAGTGATCTGTTGAAGCAATTGTAGCTGCCTAGCATGGAAAGGCCATCATCTTCTATATAAACATTTTTATAAAGAGCATGTGAAGAATTAGAAAGCTTAGAGCAATGTCCTTTCAAATAAAATTGTTCACACCAAGAGATTCCCTACCAATTTCACACCTAAAACAGAGGACATTTGAAAACCTTTAAAACCATTCTGTTTCCAACTCAATGGGTGTGGGGGCTCTTAAAGCAGCACTGCTGTAGGGTGTGTCTGATTTTAGGTTAAAACTTGCACAGTTTGTTTGAGAAGTATTTTAGCAGCGTTACTTGTGCCCTAAAAGCTGTTCTGAGCAGAATGTTGTCTGCTATACACTCGGTGCAGATGTGGAGGAGGACAGAAGTAGTCATAGTTAGAAGGCTGTTAAGTCTTGGAGAGTTGCATGTTTTGCCTCATTTCAGCATTAAGACAGGGAATCAAGATGGGGAGAGAAAAACAATAGCAAGGAGAGAAGAATAATCCTTCATTTTCCAGTGATAAAGTGCTCCTTAATAACTGTAATCCCATAATTTTGTTGTGTCTCCAAAAATCCCTTATCTGTACACTTTCCTGGAAGAAAGATTTCTTCTGTATTTCTGCTTTTAGATAACCCACAAATATAGCCATAAAAACTAAATCAGGCTACTCTGAAAATTAGAATAGAAAACCCTATTACCTATTATCAGAATAGAAAACCCCCATAGAAGCATGATTCCCAATGTGGTAGAATGGGATCGTGTACCAGTGAAGAGGCTTTTTTTGTTGTTGTTTTTGTTCTGTTTGTGTTTGTTTTTTTTTTTTCCTCAAATCAATTTATGTAGTAAACCTTGCAGTTCTTTCAGCAACAGTTAACACACAACCAGATCAAATGATTCCCTGTTAAAATATAACAGAAACAAACTGGTTTTACACTAAATGGGTTGCAAATGGCAAGAATTATCAAAAATTACAGTTCCAGTAAATTCCTTCTCTTTTTATGAGGGTGCCTTCTGAGACTCATATGTATATCTCCTAAGAAGTTCAGTTCTTCTGGTGACATATTCGGATGGAAAAGCAAACTACCTGTGAGATTTATTGTGAATTACATGGTAAACACACTTATTGAGTCTTTCTGTGTTAAAGGATGTGTATGCACATGTTTGTTTACAAGAAGTCACTGTCTAGATATTGGGTTCTTAATTGATTGCTGCAGTATATGCTGTGTTTAAAAAAAAGCCATTTGACACAAGTCCTTAAGTTTTAACTTGAGGATAGGATAATCTGAAATTTATTATTGTCTTTTTAAGAAGAAGTTAATGCAGGATTCTCTGCTGATATTTTTAAATATCAATACACACCAAGATGAACCTACAAACCCCTGGAAATACATAGTACGATGTAATACAGACATATCTATTAATGAAACGGTTTCTTGTTTGGATTTAAAACATCTTTTGTTCACACATTGGTAATAATAATACAAACCATCCACAATCTCATAGGCCTATATTTTGTTGATCTGTGCAATTAATTTATTCTCTCTTAATTTCTCCTCCTACTTTCTACTGCATTCTCAACTTTAGAAATCATTTTTTAGTTTGGAGTTTTGTTTATGTTTGCAGCATATCCTCAAGATAGACATTTCCTAAGCAGCTATGTCTTTTTAGGATATGTGGGAGTCTAGAACCCACTAAGGTTCTTCAACACTTTGGTATATTTAGACCAAGTCTCTGAAGCAAAAGCTGTCTGATTTCTCCATTCCCCAGCATGATGGAGAACTACTCCTGGCTGGAGCCTTGTAGCTTAACAAATAATAATTCAAGGCCACTGTTGGCCTTTTCCAATTATTTCACTAAACCAGATAGTTCTAGTAAAAGAGCATGCTAATTGATACTCTTTGAACCAGAGCTTATGATATGTTTTGCAATATCTAATATTTTCAGAAGGCTTAAAAAGCAATGTAGCTGTGTTTGGATTTAGGTAAAATTAAAAATGCTTATGTGAGAGCTTAAGGTATTTTGATATTTAAACTTGCAGTGAACTCGGAGCAGCATAAAAATAGTCCTTTAGGAAACATATTCATGTCAACCACTACTAAATCTGAACAGAAGGTGAATTCCCTTTAAGCCTCTAGAAATGCATCCCCAGTGCTGGCCACTTTTAACAGTGCATCCAAGAGACTATAGCTGAACTCTGTCTTATCAAGGGGGACAAGTGAGGTTGGAAGTCATGAGATTTTAGGGAGGTGAGCTAAATCCTTCTTGGCACCAGAAGGATTGAGCAGTCTGTGTAATGGTGGTGTAAAAGGAAGAGAGTTGGTTGCTTGGCTAAACTATTGCCAAGACATTTGAGCTAGTAGTTAAACTCTAAAATATACCAGCACCCCAAACTCTAAAATATACCAGAGCCCCATGAAAAGTTGTAAATCTCACCTAGGTTTGGTAAGTTGCCCTATCTAATGAGGAAATGATTGAATTCTCATTGTTGCAAAGTATTAAACACATTGGTAGTGTCTTCTTTGTCTTGATATTGGCATGGAGAGTGACAGAGAAAAGAACAGCCTGGAGGAAGCAGCTTACCAGCAAACAAAGTTCAAATCATGAAAGATCGTCTTACTTACCTTGCTGAGTAAGGAACTAAACTTTGTAAAATACACACTTCTCAAGGAGAGAAATTCTTTCATTAGAACAAATCTACCTGTCCAACTCTTGTGCCAGGATTTTTCCAATGCATTTTGATCTTGTACATGCAGCTAGGCTGCCATTTGGGAATTAAAATGAAAGGATTATATTTTCATGTGACCAGCACCAATCAGAATTATTTTTCTCCTGGGGAGTTGCTGTCCACTGATCTATTTTGAAAATTTGCATCCTCGTTCCATCTTATGTGCCTGAATGAAATGTGTTGTGTGCTGAGCATTTTTGCCAACTCTGGGCTCTTGTCACAGTAGTCAGCATACAGTTGAGAGAGAATTTTTGCATCTCATAACAGAGAAAAATGTGCAGTGTGGTTTCTTTATGCGTTAAAATGTAATAAACTTAATAAATTAACCCCTTTATTCTTTGCAGTATTTCCAGGAGTCAATTATTACAGCAAATAATTAGTAACCTGGAAAATTACATCCTGTTCACAGTATTGCTTTGACTTACTCCAGTTTTTTTTAGAAGATGAAGGTGGTTGGAGATCTAAAATGATCATTCAGAGCTTTGATAATTTGTGCAAAATATTGCTGCAAAGCATTTGAAGACTGAGTGAAGCTTTGGATCATTATTAATGAGCCTTATCTTGTTGCTATACATGGTTGTAGAAAAGGTATAGCCCCTGCTACAACAGAATCTTGCACCAGAACTTACAAGGCAGTTCATAATTTGATAAAAGCTCATGCTAAAGCCTGGCACAATTATGTCAAGATAATTAGAGAAAACAATATGGACCTGTGCCTATAGCTCTGAACTCAGATTGGCAGCATTTCTATAAATTCAGTAGCAAACCATGAGGAAGGGTACATGTCCTTTACCTTAAAAAGCTTTGTCAGGACAGTATTTATTTGTGGTATCAAGCCATTGTAAAGTCCTGCTACATGTTTAGTTCAATGTTACTAATCGTAAAGGCTTCTAGAACTTAGTAAAGAGTTAAAAATGATGGCCTTATGTACTGCTGACTTCTTTGCTCTGAATCGTTTCACTTAAGATCAAGAAAACACAGACAAGAGGCTAAGTGTCTCAATGGCATGTGTGGCTGAGCAAATAATGGATCCCTCTTGGTCTGTTGCAATTGGGAGTCTATGGCTCGCTGAAGTACCATGGGGTTTATACTGACTTCTATATTATATCAAAGTGTGACATAAGGCTCACAGGACAATTTAACCACTACTAGCTGGCCAGTAAGGGGATCTGAGAATCCACCGAATAATACTGGTGATTTGTTTTCTTTTGAGGAGCCCATCTGGATGGCGTTAGACATTGTATAAGATATAAATAAACAAGTCACCTTGGGATTCTTAATTTAATGCATGTGTGCCAGCTATAAAAAGTAAAGCCTTATTGTTTTCTTATTGCCTTTATAGTTGATAGCTATTTTACAGTTTGAAAAGAAATACCAGTGTTTTATCATCTTTTCAGCTCCAAAAATTATCTTTTTCATGCCAGCAGTAAGGCATTCTTGGCATGGATCGACCCCTGGCAATGGGACTTCTGGTGACTGCCAGTACCAAGGGGTTAAGGAGCAGTCACAATAAGCAGATGCTAATGCAGGAAAGATATTTTAGACTTCTCATTAAAATAAGTCATTTCACTGTCTTCATGGATATTTGCACAGTTTTGCTTTTCCATTGTTAGTCATAAAAGGTCAGCTCATGGAAAATTAAGTTAATAGGGTCACTGCAATTTGATGAAAACTAGTTTTAGTTTTAGCTTAGAAAAGATAGAGGGTAATGCATCTGATTTTATGGGCTTTCTTACATCTGTTCTGAATAAAACTTCTGCTCTCTTGTTCTAGGGATATATATAATAACCCTCTAATTTACATCACCGAGAATGGGTTTTCCCAAAGTGACCCTGCTCTACTTGATGACAGCCAACAATGGGAGTATTTCAGGCCGAATTTACAGGAAATTTTATAAGGTACCGTTTGATATGCTGAAAGATCAATTGTTCTAACTTTATGTAATTTTCCTTTGTGCTTATTTGCATTCAGCAATGACCAGTGATTCTTGAAGCTAAAACTCACATAAATCAGAGTAAAGTGATGTCATTAGAAAAAAAAATGTTTAGCAGAAAGTAAAGCAAGTAGTTTTAATCTTGTTTCCACATCTTTGGATGGAAATAGATAAAGAGGTTCTCCATATGCTATTTCATGTACTCAGTGTTGTAGGACCATCCATTAATTGAACAAAGCAGCCAGCACTGATCTTCAGAAATGCTCAACACACGCTTCTCATTGTGAAAGATGTGAAGTGCACCATTGTATCTGACCATTATATATATATAAAGGGTATATATATATACCCTTTCAGAATATGACCTGCTGTCCAGAATGAGGTCCCTGTAATAATTCATTCCTGCACTGGTCTATTAAGCCTTTATAGCTCAGCTTTTGCCATTATGTCATGATAGGTAACAGTATTAAATGCTGGTATGTTTTTGTTGTCTTTTTTTTTTTATTATTTTTTAGAAGCTTCTTTACTATTGACTTTGATACAAACATAGTTGGTCCAATATTCAGATCTTCTAGAAATTCCATTTCTACCTTCCATCTGCTGATAGCATTCTCTGATGTAATTTACAGGCAGGAGGTCATCTCTCTATGTATCAAGTAGAATGTATTTTTAAATACTGGTTCATCCAGTTTTCCTGTCATATTTGTCCAAAGTGATCACAATCATGAATGTTGTGTATTTGTTTAATATTTTTGGTAGTCATTCTTCCGTTTTCATTTTGCTTCTATTTTATTTCTGCTATGCTTTTATTTTTTATTTCATTGCCTTAATTTAAACAGCCATTTAAAAACTACCTGTCTGTCTTAATCCTTTCTATTCCAAGTCACAACCTAGACTTATCAGCCATGCCAATTAACTGTTTCTTCAGCTTCAGTGGAAGGTGCAAAAACCATTTTCTGAAGCCAATTGGTAGGGTCTGCTTCTATCTAAAGGTGGTATACCACATTCTAGCTGCCTTGGACTGCTCTTCCCATGCTCTGCCAGATATGACCCTAAGCCATATTTGGAGATATATAATGGAGTAAAAATTAATTTCCATGGATTATCAAGGGAATGTGTTTGAGTCATGCTATTGACCCTGTTTTGTTAACTTACTTTGCAGACAGAATGTCTGGATTTGATTTACTCTGAAGAAGATATCAAGAATTTAAGAAGCATTTAAATGGGTTTAATTTCAGGTCTAGTTGTTCTACAATGTACATTGTCTTATCCTGAAGTAAACATTTAAAGTCAGTCAGATGAATCACCACTTAGTGCATATCTATTTGTGTACAATAAGACAATGAGGGTGACTAGCTTTGAGATTGGTGCATATATGGGAGACATCAACATTCAGGTAAAATGAGACTTACTTTGCCATTCATTCAGTCCAGCAGAGTTTTTAGACATGTGTGGTCTGACTGTAACCAATGCAACTCTACACAGGCTTAGTTAGGTTTTTCTTTAACATTATACTTTATTTATGTCTATTTGTTTATGCATCAATAAACATGGTGGGCCACTGATTGAAACAGGTCTCTGTGTACAAAGATAATATAAATATTAAATCCATCAACTGTAAAGCATTCTGTGAAGAAATGCTTGTAACTTTATCCCCATGTAAATTCTCCCCTGATGCTTGGAGTCAACAGTTTCTTATATCTACTCCCTACAAAGTGGCCCATGAATGAGTAACCCATTTCAAGTTTTCAGTTCAGGTACCCTGAAAAACAGGATTTTCAAAGATGTTCACTTTATTCAATGTTTAATTCTTAACCATTTATTAAGTGTTATGTGAAGCATAAAAGTTCAATTGCTCTGCAATTGGTGTCAAAAATAATTCCTTATCTTTGAGCTAACTTTTGAAATGTACAGGCTCATTCATGCAATGAGCTCTGGGTCATGATAGGGGCTTGTGTGGATTTTGCAGTGGGATTTGGCCATACTTTTTTGCCTAACTGAGAAATAAGTATGCCTGACTACAAAGAAGAGTATATCAACAGCCACTGACTGCACTTGTAAATATAAAATTTTAATGTGTATTCTGATATTATATTTTGCATTAAAAATCCTTCTGCCTTTTAGAATACATGCTTGCATTTCTTATGTTAACATTGTCAGCCAATATTTTCGGAAAATATTTTCTCCCTCTTTGAAACCTTAAATGTCAGAAAGAGCTATATTCTTGTACTCTGAAAATCAGATACTTCAATGCCTCTCAAGATAGGTAGCAGGACTGCAGGTGTGCAAAATGCCTAAAATTTTGGATATCAAGACTATTTGAAATGAAAGATTTTGGAGCTCTATAGCAGACTTTTTATTTCATGAGTTTACTTAATATCCTTCACCCATAAGACTGATTACACAGTGTGAATAACTAAAATAACCACTGTATGTTATTCCTATGCTTTATTTTTAAAAAAAGATTTTGATGCTGTCAGATAAAACCGAAATTTTTATTTTGGGGGAGGCATTAGTTAATAAGAGTGGAAATAACAATGTAAATATGAACTAGGAAACGGAGAGTGAGCAGCATGGAGCCACTACAAATATATCACATTATAGCTGTTATAAGATGGAAAATAGTTTCTAAACACTGCCATGTTGCTTCTGCGCTATATAGATAGATAAAAGCATCAATATTTTAATAAATGTGGATATACATATTTAACATCTCTACAGAGCCATAAGCATGCATGGTACTTTACAGATAAATGAAAATGATGTCTTCGTACCCCAAGGAGCTTAAAATCTAATTTAGATACAATGCATGAAGAGAAGATGAACAGAAGGCTGGATGAGATGTATAAAGAGAAAATGGATCAGAGTTGTGAATCGCCTTTTACTACCGTTGCTCTTCCTTAATTTTATGTAATATATGTTAAGCATGACAGCTAGACCAAAGATCAAGGCTGCCAATAAAAAGGTAATTGAAACTACTTAGTTTTGGAAACTGGAACCTTTTAAAAGAGATAATAGAGTTTCATAAAATTCATGAAGGAGAGCAATGTAAACAGTGGATAAACTGTTGCCACAGGCAGATGATGGAGAAGAGCAAAGAAGTTATTCCATAATCTGGCCAGTAGAAGATTAATAATAATGCTGATGGGGAGGAAAAAATGAATTAAATGAAAGTTAGAGAGCAGAGGGCTGTGAGAATTAGACAATGGAAGGAGAGGTGAAGTTAGTATTAATAGAAGGTAAAGAAGCTGAGGATGATGTGATGTGATATGGGCAGAGGTAAATAAGAGGGAGATGAGAAGCAAGAATATATGAGAATAAGCAGGACGAGCTGGAAGTAAATAGAAAGCATATGAACATTCAATTTGGAGTTAGCTAAAAGGTCAATAGTGAAAAACTCAGGGCAAATGAGATAAACTATTGCTAGAAGAAAGGGATAAGTAAAGCTTAAGATTCAGATGGTGTTGATTTTCTCCTTAAATATACTTGAATGTAGCAGAAAAGGAAACGAGATACAGAGGATGCTGACTGCCATGAGAAGTGCAGAGCAGAACTAAAACTGACAGTAAGCAAGGTGATACAGTTAAGAGGATTTTTAAAATGCACCTTACATTAAATGCAGTTTCTTCTGGTCTGCTTTTGGGTCTTTTTTTTCTGCTCATACTTCTAAGATTTGTTATAAAACCTTTTATGTCTTGTCACTGTACACTTTGATTTTGCTCTCATGAACTATCTGTTTAGTCTACATCGTGGACACACACTAGCCTGCTCTTGCTGCGTTCACATGCACATAAAACAGTGAGGTTATAATGCAATACTGTAGTCCCTGAAAATATGATTTATTGTTAAATTAAATATGGATGTCATAATGTGATTCCCTCGGGTCAACTATAAGCTTGAATGATATTGAAAGAGCTGCAGCTGCAGCTCTGTTTCTTCACTGCCACTGACAAAAATGCCTCTACAAATAGAATACAACAATGCAGACATCTTAAGGAGTCTCTGAGATGTGCTGTCCCTGGCATAACATTACCATGTGATGTTTTCAAGAACTATAAATACATTGACTACATTATAGTGTAAAAGTTAAGAAGCTCTGCAGTAGGCACTGCAGAAGTGCTCAAATCAAGCAGAATTTGTTATCAATAATGTAAGGGATTCGAAGATTAAAACAAAACAATGCAAAACCAAAAACTTATAAAGATGATAGCACGGAATGATGCATTTCTCAGATTTTTAATATAGTTTAGGTTCAGAATACAGGATGTGGTTCTGTACAATTTCACTTCGAAGCCAGTTTCATAATTTCACATTATCACAAGCATGGCTACACAATTTATTAGGATAGATGTTTGAAGCTACCTCTAAACAATGACAAGATTCTCTTGTTACTAAATGCTTAAGCTTCTTTTTATTTCTTTTTCAAACTAATCCCATAATCTGAATTTTCTAATCTTCAAAAGTGAGCACTTTCGTTTTTCAACTCTTAACCAGTAGTTTTGCAATGGAAAATCATGAAGAATCATTTTATTTCTCCAAAATATTCTGTAATGTGCCTTCAAAAGTATCTTCAGTGAAAATAATGCAACATACTTATAAGCTTCTGCTAGGAATCTCTCCATTCTATTGGAAACAGAATAATAGGAGTCTGGCTAGTACAGCAAGAGAAAACCACTGTCTCTGTATGGTGGTAAATTTATTACTTGCCAGTGTCTTGATTTCAGATGGAAAGAACGAATGGAAAGTAAGAAAAAACAAGGATGGCTATGGACCCTGGAGGAAGGAACTGCCTGATTCCACCATAGGAGTTTTGAGTGCAGTGTTAAAGACTAGCTAAGCTGCGTAGTGCATCTGCGCTTGAGCTGTAGGGAATCTAGATATAACCGGTATTTCACATCCTCATGCCGTGTCTGTGATTTACTTTGATTCCAAGTAACCAGCCTCGGTGAAGCATAAATTTTCAG